CCCCTCGTCTTTGTTTCTGTTTTGATGCTGGTCGCTCCTCTCGTCTGTCTGAGAAGAGTTGAGTGTTACACCACTCTGCTTGTACAAATCTTTGTACCACAATGCATGATGGGATATACTGCTCCGATCGTGACCATCGGTGTCTGTACCTTTAAATATGTAAATGAGCTGTGTCTGACCACGCCCCCTCTCTGGAAGGGCTTGGGTGTACTCGGTCTTTCTCGCTCCATGTCCTATTGTTTACGGTGAGAAGGCAGACTCAGAGGGCAGAACAAACACCTAGCTGTGGGAGGAGTCACCCACCTGGGGGAGGGGCTACTGCCCTTTGTGATGTCATGAAGGGAAAATCTCCAAACGGCCTGTTTGAGCACACATTTTCTGAAAAGTGGAGCAGAAAGAAGACAGAGAGGATGGACTTTTCTCATCATTGGAGGGTTTGTAGACGGACTAGAGACACATGTTAGAGTTAGAGGAACATGGAGAAGAGGATTTTAAATCTGAGACCTTTAAGATTTATTTCTGAGAGACAAAGTATGATTCCTGCATTAAATACAGAGAGAGAGAGAGATCATTAAAAGATGAAATAAGACGTTTGTTTGTTTTTTTCAGGTTGTGATGCGTCCAGAGCAGACAGTTGAAGAGGGACAGCAGGTATGTTTTCATCTTTATTCTTTTACATTTCAGCCTCTCAGATTCTTCTGTGTCCGTATAACTCACTGATGACTCTGATGTCTGTGTCAGCCAAACTGTACTTACTGATAACAGCCACCAGATGGCAGCAGCTCTGTTTGCGTGTCTTAGGGTCTGTTTGTGCCAGCTTCTGTTTCTAATCGTTCCCACTGAGGAGAGAGCGTTTGCAGCAGCGGAGGGGAAAAGAGGAGCGCTCTTTTCAAAATAAAAGATATTCCAAGATTTCATGTAGTGTCCCCTCCCGTATAATAAAGGCCTGCTTCAAATGGTCAAAGTTTAACCTAAATGCTGAATTGGCTGCTTTCTGGTAAAATAATGAAAACTTGTATTCTTGGTTGTTTGTTTTGAAACGTTCTTGTTTATTATTATTCCCAGATTGCAGAGGATCTGATGGAGAAGCTCGGCGTCTCAAAGGAGAGTCTGGTGACTGGAGCGTACATGGACCTTCTTCTTAAGGGACACAAAGAGACCTAAAACAAACGCACCTGGAGCCACAACAGAAACCAGAATATCATATTTACACAATTTAAAAACAACCACATCAACTCCAAAGTCAACAAACTGTAAACGAGAATAATCTGATCTGATGAGACATCTTTGTAATTAGTTTCTATGAAATGTTGTTAACGTGTCTCCGTATGTTTGATTGTAAACACTGATCTGTAAAGAAAGTCATCCTTTTCTAAATAAATAAATGTGTTTTTTCTAACAAGCTGTTTCATGTGTGACTGGATTCAAAGATACTTAAAACGCCGTCAACGCTTAACTTGAATGCCGAGGTTGCTCAGGTCACCATGTGGTGGACTCTGAAGCTTCAGTGTTTATCCAGCTCTGCATGGGTCTGTAAACCTTTCTGTGTTCTAACCTCTCTCCATTTTTCAAAAGCATCTAAAAAAAAACTCTTCCAGTAAAGTTTGAGATGTGAAAAATCGAGTCATTATATCTTAAAATGTCTTAAAACTGTTTTTACGGAGAGGCAGAAAGCGATCCATTAGTCTGCACCTGGAGCCCGTTCAGGAGGATTCTGTGAAAAAAGCCTGATGACACCTGAACGTGCCTCAGACACACACACACGTTAAACAGGTTTTAATTGCCAGCAGGTGGGTGGTTGCTATGGAAACTCGGCAGCTGTGTGTTCAACCTGAAATTAAAATGTAAATCCCAATAAACAAATATTCAGCTCAACGGGAAACTTTTTTTATCGCTGTGCCAGAAGCATCCCCAAAGTGAAGAAAGATGGAAATCTGTCTCATATTTTATGTTTTATGATCTTCTAAACCAATTTTTAGAGCGTCAAATAAATCATTTGTAAAGGAAATGTCAGAAACTTCTTGGGTTTTTAAAGTAGGGAATGTAAAAGCACCTCAAACGTGAACTCAAAAACATCCGACTGGTTGTGAACGCGGTCGTTGTGCAGCCTTGTAAAAATAATAATTTTCCAGGTGAAGCCTCAAAAAGTTGTTTCTTCAGATGTGAAGTCACAGCTCTTCCCTATCAGCCATGTTTTCAAACATGCATTTTGGTTTAAGAGCGAACAGGACCGCACACAGTCTGCTCGTTGACTCCATCGATGACACTTAGACTCCATCTGTTCTCACTGCTAAATAAACAGATTTTACTTCATGTTCTCTCAGTCGCAGTAGGCGGTGTCTGCAGCCGATTTATGGAGAAGGGAATCCACAGATAAGAGGTTCAGACCGCTGTTGTTTCACACATACAGATGCAGGGACAATCACAGAGACAAAACCTTTAGAGACATGAAAACCTGCTAAACTGATGGTGGGGATCCTGCCAGATTCAGAAACTTTATTATCTGATGTTCTCCCGCTCCTCTAGAGGGGAAAAAACAATCATTTTACACTCGCTTCTGGAGGAACTATTCAGATCCTTTACTTTAAAGTCTTTATATGTGATTTTTTGATCCAGCAGATGTCGCCCTTGAGCACCAGCATGAAACCAAAACAACTTGCGCTGCATTGTTGTGTTAGCATGCTAATGCTAGTGATCTTTATTATGCTGGTATCTTCACACTGCATGTAAATTTACCTGAAATGAGCGTGATCTAGAAACACAGTTAAGCAGTGAGTACAGTATGTTATTCTTCTTTTCTCTAGTCCCTCAATTAAACAACTTTTATACACGAGGGGAGGAGTCAGCCGGCCGTCCGGGCGATGTAAACAAAGTGAAGATAGGACTCTGAAAACTGTGAAAACATCACAGACAGTGGGACTCGGGTGTTACACCCATTGTAGACAGTCATGACTCACAGAGTTATTTTCAGAGGATATATTGATTTATATATTTAAGTGTGAAAAATCACATATTAACCCTTTAATAACTGTATCAGCTGGCAGGGGAGGTCTCTGCTACTCTTCCAAATCATTTAGTTATCAGAGCGATGCGTGGACTGGTAAACTCGTCTATATCCAACACCACATTTTAGACGGTATCCAAAAGCCCAAACCAACGCTTGTATCGGTACTGGTATCAGAACTCTACTGATACCACACAGTGACTAAAGGACAAGTAATATTGTAGGACATATTTTGTGCCTGTCCTCTCCTGGCCAGACTCTTTACTTGGTCTACAAACACAAACACAAGTTACAGAACACCTTGAGCTCAACAAATCCATCGCTACATCCAATAATCCGTTGTTATCTGAAATGATTTGAGGACTTAGGTCTATATTTTTCTCCACAGCTAACGCACTGATAATGTGGAGTTAATGTCAGCGTGGACACATTCAGTTGTAAGTAAATTGGTTGTAGGGAAATTAACTGTATGTATCTTTCACATTTGGAATCGTGCCCTGTTACAAATCTGTTGTCATTGGAATATGTTCAGGCAGATTGAATAATGAAATAAGGATTTTACAGTGAAAGCCTAAATCAAGCTCTCCAACTTGAACAGATGGAACTGTAAGTCTGGATTTGAAAAATGTGTTTCTGAAGGAGTTCCTAAGGCATGGAACTACCCAGACATACAGCCATGAGAGATACAATCTGAAACCTGAATGAAGAGCCTCAGGCAGCGACCAATAGACGGGCCAAATGTTAGTTGGATTGTTTCAAACCAAACTTGAGCAAATCTTCAAATCTCTGCAGATCTTTGGGACTGTAAGCTCCTCGATGCAACAGATACAGAGCAAGCTGACAGGAGTTTGCCTGTTTGAACAGCACTATACAGAAAAACACTTGGCCCCGTTCAGTGGCGATTATAGAGAGGAAGAGGAGTAAGTGTCGGGAAACTTGGAGACACGATGGTGGTAGCTGCTGGTTGGAAGGGCCCCCAATGACTTTTAGCCTTGGGCCCTTCCAACCAGCAGCTACCACCATCGTGTCTGCAAGTTTCCCGACACTTACTCCTCTTCCTCTCTTTATCCCCCCAGACGCAAAATTTGCACATTTTGAGCCGCTGCTGTGGTTTAAAGTTTGTCAGCCCTCAGGGGTCCCCTTACTGGCCTGGGGCCCCTGAGCAGTTGCCTGCCTTTCCTATTGACAAACAGCACCTCTGGGCCCGTTTTGTAGGACTGTTTGAAGAAGTTCTGGAAAACAAGCTTCTAACCGGGACGATGAATTTGCAAAGTCTGGATCCAACACAGATGAGAAAGTCCTGCAACCCTTCTTTCTGTGAAACCAGAGCAGGAGTCAGTTTTGTGAGGACCACTTAAGAGTGTACTCAGTGTTCTGGGGTTTCCTTTCTGTCGGTCCAGGGTCCAGAGAACTTGACCCCCACCTCAGTAAGAGCGAGTTCTGTCTCAGACTCTGAGAGGTGTAGAAGGTTTCTCTTGGTTATATCTGACTGACTATTGTAAAGACAGGGTTGTTGAGAAATAAGAACTTGAGGGAAAGAATGAAGAAATAAAGGTCTTTGTTTGCATGGAGACATAAATTACCAAAATCCTCGAAGTCTGAGGGGTGTTTAAGGTTCAGACATTTAGCTGCAGTTTCAAAACAGAAGGATTGTGCCTGCCATGACGCAACAAGTAGAAAGACTTGCTCTAGTCAGAAAGTGACTCTGGGATGAATTTGGTGAATTGAAAAATTGGATGAGTTGCATAAGATTTGCAACAGATTTTAAAGTACAAGGAAGAGGGTCGCCGTCTGTAGACGTCAAAAAGGTTTGACAAGTGTGGCTAACGGTAGCATTGCTAACAGCACCAGTCTTCAGTCCCCCCCCCCCAAAGGGTTTCACCTAGTCGCTCCTTGTTGGGTTTGACCCAGGCTGTCCACTGTGAGGACTTAAGTCTCTTCACATAGGACGTGCAACATAACCACAAGGCTCTCCAGCGACTGGTATCTGGGTTTTTTTATTAAATAAAAATTTAAAAATGAGGTTATAAATGTAGCTGAGATGCTAACCGTTAGCTTCCTCTCATTAAAGAGACTCACTTCGATTGATTGAATCATGACACTGACTTCTGAAACTTCTTTGGTTCTCTTTTGCACCTTTAAAGCTGTAGTGTCATGATGACTTTGATAGGTTAACATATCAGCTTCCCTCCTCCCCCTCCTCCTCCTCGATTGATTGAATCATGACACTGACTTCTGAAACTTCTTTGGTTGTGCGCTCTGATTGGTTGAGTCCCAGCTCAATAGCAAAATATCATAAAATAGCTGAAATTCATCCTGTTTATTTATCTGCTTTATCCCCCCCCTCCCCCCCCCTTAAATCAACAAGCTTCATCATCGTCGGCCGGTGATGAAGCTCGGATGCTGATTCTTTATCCTTTTTTTACTTTTGCATCGTTGCCATGACAACGGGGCTGCTCCTCCACACCCACGCTGCTTACCCCTCTCTCTCGCTCTCTGACAGCGAGCAAGCTAGAGAGATAGAAAAGAGGGAGAAGGAGAGAGAGAGAGAGAGAGAGAGAGAGAGAGAGAGGTGTGTTTTCTAACCCACGCATTGGAGTGGGAGACAACGTGCACACTCTCACGTGCACGCTCACACACATATCACAGAGAGCGTGTGTCATGCTAGCAGTGTGTGGGCTGAACCGACCAGCCTTCCACTCATCCTGCCTCTCCCTCTCTCTCTCTCTCTCTCCCTCTCCCTCTCTTCTTCTTCCTCTCTTTTCGTCTCCAGATACACCTCCTCCTCTCCTCCTCCTCCTCCTCCTCCTCTTCTTCTTCTTCTTCTTTTTTTTCCATCCTCCATCATCTTTTCTCCCCCACCTCTCCTCCTCCTTCTTCTTCTCCTCCTTCCTCCTCTCCTCTCCCCATCAGTCCTTCCTTTTTCTTTTTCAGTTTACCGTCATGGAGAACGAGTCGGCGATCTTTCTGGGTGAGTGCAGCTCTGTGTGTAATGTGTGTGTGTGTGTGTGTGTGTGTGTGTGTGTGTGTGTGTGTGTGTGTGTGTTAAATTAAATGCTTGTGTTAAGCTAATGTTGTTTCGGAGATATGTTCAAGGGTGTGTGTGTGCGTGTGTGTGTGGTGTGTCTGTGTGTGTGTGTGTGTGTGTCACTTGCTGCCGCTCTGTAACTTTAAAAGTCGTGACTCAATTTCAACTTTACCTTTTTCGACCTGTCGTCATCTTTTTTCCTTTCCTTTCCTTTCCTTTCCTTTCCTTACATCCTCTCCTCCTGAATTCTTTCCTTCCTTTCTTTTCGTTGTCAGCCTTACATTTCTTTTTCCTCATCCCATCATCCTTTCCCACTTCTTTTCCTGCACTCCTCTCATTTTCACTTGTCTCCTTTCCTTCTCATATGCATTCCTCTCCTTTGCTACTTGTTGCTTTCTTTCCTTTCCTAGCCTCCTTGTCGTGCTCCCATGTCGTTTCCTTCCTCTTCTTTCCTTTTTTTGTGTCATCTCCATCTTCCGACACTTTCTTGCTTTCTTCTTTTCGTTCCTTCCTCTCCTGTCTGGATTCATTCCCTCATTTCCTTGTCCTTCCACCCTTCTTTGCATCCTTGCCTCCTCTCTTCTGCTCCCTTCTTTCAATAGTCCTTGACTCATCTCCTCTCTTCCTTTCCTTCCCCTCGCTTCTCTCTGCATTCCTTCCTTCTCCCATCTCTCCCTTCATCCCCTTCCCTCATCTCTTATTTCTTTCCTTACCCAATCTCTCATCCTACTTTCCTTTCCTTCTCCCTTTCCTTTTTTCCTCTTTCCTCCTCATCTCCTCATCTCCTATCCTCGACCCTGATTTCCTTGCTTCCTTTTCTCCTTTTCGATCTTTCTGTCCTGTCCTGCATTCCTCTAATCTTTTCCTCGACTGCCTTGTGTCCTTCATTTCATCCTCCGGTGCTTTGTGCACTTCCCCCCCATTTTCCCCTCTTTTCTTGCGTGCTTCCTTTCTCCCTTTCCTTATTTCCTTGTTTCCTATGTCCTTAATTCTACTTTCCCATTCCTAATTTCTTTGGTCCTCTTCCTCCTTCTCCGTAGGTGCTTCAGGTACTTTACTTTCCCTGTTAACTCCATCCTCTTCCCTTAATCCTTATTATCATTTCCTCTCCTCCACCCTCAGAAGCTTTCCTTTCTTCCTTTCCTTTTCGTCCTGCTCAGTATCTTTCCCCCTTTCCTGTGTACTTCCTCCTTTCCTCCTGTGAACCCCTCTCTCTCTCCTCCCTCTCCTCCCTCTCCTCATCTTTTATTGATCCTGTCCTCATCTGATCTTTCCTTTTCTTTCTTTGCTTCTTTTTTTTTCTTTAAAATCTTAATCCCATCCGGTTCTCTCCTTTCATTTCTTTCACTCTTCTATCCCTCCTCCTCAAGTGTTCCTTTTCTCGCTCTCTTGCTCTCTCTCGCCTTTTTATTTCCTGTTTCTGTTTCCTCCAGCATCACTGTACCATCCTGTGTGTGTGTTGTGTGTTGTGTGTGTGTGTGTGTTATGTAAGCAGCAGCAGTGAGAGTGTGTAGGCCGTAGTCTCAGACCGTCTATCTAAAGAGATGATCTGCTCAAACACTTCAAAGAGGAAGTGGATCTGCTTCTGCAGCGCTCACACTCTTTAACATCACCTGGTTGTCATGGCAACGTGTTGAGCGCTGTGTGTGTGTGTGTGTGTGTGTGTGTGTGTTATGTAAGCAGCAGCAGTGAGAGTGTGTAGGCCGTAGTCTCAGACCGTCTATCTAAAGAGATGATCTGCTCAAACACTTCAAAGAGGAAGTGGATCTGCTTCTGCAGCGCTCACACTCTTTAACATCACCTGGTTGTCATGGCAACGTGTTGAGGCCCCCCCACCCCCACCCCACGGCACGGTGACAGCTGGCTTGGTTCTTGAGTGACTTGATGGTCAGAGTTTAAACTGCCCTTTTTCGACAGACCTCTTGTCTAAAACGTTTGGGACTGCATTTCCCACGATGCACTGCGTGTGTTCAGACTATATGGAGAGAAAATCATCGGAGCGTGAAAAGGTATTTCTTCTGGTGCGACTGACTCAAGCTCAGATAACCTCGTGTATCTTTGCAGAGCGCCTACATTTCTGCTTCATGTTACAAACTACGGTTTGAAGATGGCGCCTCGGGGGGGTTTATAACACTCATGGGGCTTTATTTTGGTGGTCGGGGGAATGACACAGAGCGAGTTACTCATGAGAGGATGTAGCCACTGAGAAGTCACACAGATATGCAAACTATTCAAGCCTGAAGTTTTCCTTTAATCGCTGTGACCATTGTCTTTGTTTTTTAAGCCAGAATGGTCCATATTTGGGCGAGAGGGCGGAGTTAGAAACCGGGGTGACCCTACTGACCTGAGGAAGAGAATATGTTTACAGACGAGCTGATGTATCCGAGTATAATCTACATGACATTTTTATCACAGCAGCTCAAACAGCAACAGTACGACAGCTTTCTTTGAGGTAACATCCAGTTTTTAGAAAGATGGCGGCTCTGTCATGGCGGCGGCCACTTCAGGACACGTCCTGTTACAAACTCTAAAATGAAAAAAAGGATTTCTCTAAATATATAAGAGGTAATAATGTAAGAACCCTGAATGACCAGAGGGACCAAAGAGTTCTTCAGTCTCTCTGTGTTATGAGCGTTTCAGCCTCTAGGGGGCGCTTTCACTGCTTTAACATTTTAGTTCTTGTTCTAAAGGGGGGGGGGGGGGGGCTGTCGCAGATCAAAGTGATGTGAGAAACTTGACAAGACAAAGTGTGTGTGTTGGACGGAGAGAGAGAGAGATGATAATACAGTGTGCAGTGGCAGCTCTCGCCAACGGTTACCATGGCAATGGCCAAGGGAGCTCCATTTCTAGGACACACACATCCTGTTCACACCTAACAATGAAAAAAAGCATCGTGGTGATCGGAACCGCCGAGAGTCCAGCTCTGTGCTCACCTGATCACGCTGTTCAGATTCAGAGAGAACACGATGTGAGAGTGGAAAACACGCGAATCATTCAGCGACTTCACTCCACGACAGACGGAGACCGAAGACGACTGAGGAAGGAAGTATTCAGATCTTTACTCAGGGAAAAGCTTACTACAGATACTCGACTTCCTGTTAAAAGTCCTGCATTCAAAACTTCCCTCAGCCTTTAGTCAAAGTGTGAAACGTGTTCTTCTGGTTTTTCTTCACAGTTATAAACGATGTTGTTACACTAATGATCCTGAAGGATGAGACCATGAAGGACGCTGACAGCGTGTTAGCGGAGCAGAAAGTTCACATTCACAAAAATCTAGAAACCAACGAGGATGTTCAACAAGCAGCCGATGTCACTTTGATTCAATAATCTGTTTTATTTTGGCTTCAGAATTAGCAGCCTGTCCTCACAGCGTCAGCGACAAAATTCACCTGATTCTCTCGTTACTTATTGGAGCGTTCGTAACGGCCTGCGAGGACACGACTCGCTCGCTCAGACGGACGAGGAACGAGGAAGGACGAGGCTCTACTCGCCACGATCTCTCCGAACTCAGCAGAGCTCGTTAGCTTGTTAGCTCCTTAGCTTGTTTTACAAAGTGGAGGTAACGGTGCATTAATAATATCCACTTCATGATTGACATGTTGACCTTTGACCTGTGTCAACACTTTATTCAGTTCACTGCGAGCCGTTTATTGAGTGTTGAGATCTGAGTCAACAGCTCGTCAATACAAAGCACCACACTTCAGTTTGTCCTCCTTCAAAATAAAAGCACCACACTTCAGTTTGTCCTCCTTCAAAATAAAAGCACCACACTTCAGTTTGTCCTCCTTCAAAATAAAAGCACCACACTTCAGTTTGTCCGCCTTCAAAATAAGAGAACCACACTTCAGTTTGTCCTCCTTCAAAATAAAAGCACCACACTTCAGTTTGTCCGCCTTCAAAATAAGAGAACCACACTTCAGTTTGTCCTCCTTCAAAATAAAAGCACCACACTTCAGTTTGTCCGCCTTCAAAATAAGAGCACCACACTTCAGTTTGTCCTCCTTCAAAATAAAAGCACCACACTTCAGTTTGTCCGCCTTCAAAATAAAAGCACCACACTTCAGTTTGTCCGCCTTCAAAATAAGAGAACCACACTTCAGTTTGTCCTCCTTCAAAATAAAAGCACCACACTTCAGTTTGTCCGCCTTCAAAATAAGAGCACCACACTTCAGTTTGTCCTCCTTCAAAATAAAAGCACCACACTTCAGTTTGTCCGCCTTCAAAATAAAAGCACCACACTTCAGTTTGTCCTCCTTCAAAATAAAGCACCTTACTTCAGTTTGTCCGCCTTCAAAATAAAAGCACCACACTTCAGTTTGTCCTCCTTCAAAATAAAAGCACTAGATGTCAAACTGTTTGAAAGGGGAAACTGAAATTCAAAGAGCAAAGAAGTAAATATTTAACAGATGCAGTGGACAGCCAGCGTGTGTCCACGCTCTCGTGCTGTGAGGACACGCGGTGTCAGAGAGACGATTAACTGATAAACAAAAGATGATCTATAAGAATGTGTTTACTTTTCTACTCAAAGCTTTAAAGGAGATCCTGAAGACACATAGTCGTATTTATGGTTGAAAATTGAAGTGTGTGTGTGTGTGTGTGTGTGTGTGTGTGTGTGTGTGTGTGTGTGTGTGTGTGTGTGTGTGTGTTATCAGCTCCGGCCAGCTTCTCAGCTTTTCCTGCCAAACATCCATTTCCTTGGCAACGCAGACAGGAAACAGGAAGTGTGAGTCACAGGAAGTGCTTCTAATCTTTGTCAAGTCTTTTTTTGTTTTGTTAAATCTTGCTCTTGTTCCAACATATCCTCCTGCTGTCTGTGTTGTCATAGTAACATCCTAGTTTTTCTTTTTTTATCAACCCAGCTGACTAGCATGCTGGTAGCTATTAGCGCGCCACCAGTATGGCTAACAGGCCATACAGAGGTCAACAGCTGGCTCCTAGCAGAGTCACAAACTAACGCTGTTAACTCATCCACTTTGCTAACGGTTTACTAATATCTCAAAGCTCCATGTCAACAAAGATAACCAGCAAAAGAGATCGCTGCTTGGCTACTTAGCCTAGCTAACAGCTGCTCGCTAGCTGCCAACATATACGCCTTTAATCATGTTCGGCTTTAAGTCTCCCAACAGTTAACCACAACGTTGGGTAATAGTTGATCACAATTTAATTTACAATATATCTAGTTTTTTTTACCTTTAGCATTCCTCTAAAAAGTTTGAACAGTAACAAGCTAGCTACCAGACTGACTAGCAGAAGGCTAACAGCTAACAGCTCTCTACCAACTGGCTGCTCATAGCAGCGTTGTGAATAAGACCTTGAGACAGAGCAGACACTTTTGAACACTTCTGCTGAAATCCATGAATCATGTCCGTAGTTTAGGATGATCGTTGTGACATGTCCCCCCCAACGCCACCGCCGAGGTACAGCGTCGTTCTCTGGGAAACACTGCCCCCCCCCCTCTCTTTGCTTTTATGTATTTTTATGAAAGCCTAAATAAATATGGAGTTGTTTTCCCTGAGTGAGTGTAACTTTGTGTTTCCAGACATGACAGGGATCTGGTCAAGGTTCATGAATGCTAACAGCTAACTGTGGCTAACAGTATGTTCGTCTAAGTCTGCTGCAGCTGAGTTCCACCAGCTCATCTGAGAATAGAAACACAAATCAATATTTAAAACTTTACATAATACAGCATAGCAGCAGTTAGAAAGCAGGTTTTAGGGCTCTTTCTTTTGGCCTTGTTGCCATGATAACCGATAAAACGGCTTCCGATTGTGTAACCGACTGACGCTGAAATGGCCTCCACAAAATGCAACCGTGTCTGACCCAATTCTGATTTAAACTGCAAACCACACACTCCGACATCTCCGTACACCCTCCACTCCTCTTCTGATAGCTGTTTTTTTTCTCCCCCTCCTCCCCCTCCTTCATATCCTGGACTCCCTCTACGCTCCTTTACCTCCCACCCGCCTCCTCCTGCTCTTCCTCCCTCTTTTCCTCCCTTTCTACAGGATGGGCAGGGCAGCACCCAGAATACAATCTGAAACTCTGAGACCTCTCACTCTGCTGCTGGATTACTACAAAAAAACTACAGTTACACTACAAGAAACTACAAAAACTGTTTACTGTAAGACTTCTTCATGTACTGTGGATTCTTCTCGTCCCACCACAACACAGTCGGAAAATACTTCATCTACTGCAGAAAGAACTCATTCTCACTTCTGTGCCTGCCCACGGGATTACAACAACCCATCGCTGAGATCCTGCGTGCCGAGGTCAAACCAACCGGACCCTCGAGAACCTGCCGCCTGAGGCTGCACCAGAACCAAAGACAGAAACGGGCCAAACAAGTATCGGACTAGCAACGCACTCAGGCTCTGTGGAGTGGATCAGCCCAGACCAGGCCAGACCAGAAGAGACCAGCAGGAATCAGTAAAGGCCATTGGAAAAGTTTGATGGGACTGCTGACAACTGGTAAGTCCACCGGCCTGGAGCTGAACTGGTTTAAATCTGGACTAAATCCTATTCAAGCCAGTTTAGAACCAGTCTGTTTCTGAAATTGTGTATTTATTGGTCTTGTGCGACCCACCACAGAGTAAAGAGACCCTTTTAAACCCTTAGCACATATTTGACACGTTTCGAGGTCTCCATCAGGAGATCGCTTGTAATGAAACCGGCTGTAACGGCTGCAATGCGATCCTTTGGGGCAATTATAGAAAATCAAATTAGTCCAAGAAAAGGTTTTGATTTTGTCTCCGACTGGCTCAGATTGTTATTCTAAGTGTCTGAAAACATTACAGAAAGGATCCCTACTGAAATAACCGTCACTCGTCTACATCGCTTCAAAGCCACGAGACTCCATTGACAAAAAAATAAAAATAACCTTTGATGATTGATCAGTTTATGTTTTTGTGTTTTGCACAAACAGATCCAAAATAACTATCAAAAAACTTTCACCAAACGAATTGACCCTTTGTTGGCTCTCTGATTGGACCGCTGACTCACCAATAGAGAGCCCCCTCTCATAGCAACCGTTGCTGGGCTACTAATGGCTAGACAAACTATCACCTGGGCCGAGTCTTTTCAGAGCGTCGCGTAAAGCTGGGCAATTAAGACAAGTCAAGTATATTTATATTTATCGCACATTTTAGCAACAAAACAATTCAAAGTGATTTCACACGACACATCAAAAGACTCACAGAGACGTTAAAACATTTTAAGAAAAGAAATACAGAAATATAAAGATCCAATCAGTGAGATGTGTAGTGAGTGAAATGATAAAGGTATCTTACTCTCTGATCATTAAGGAAACATGCTATGTTGAAGTGCTGGCTTCTCTGACAACAATGCAGCAGCCAGTATGTCCTCCTCCTAACTTTAGATTCTGCTCCTGAATGCTCTGGATTTGTTTGGACCACAGAAGGTAGGCGCTTTTAAGACGACCCCTCACACGACCGTTTTGGACGCCCCTCAGTTTGTCAGATATGAGAGCAGTTATCAGGTCAACAGGTGTTGCAGCGATGGAAGCGGTCAAGAGAAGTGGTTCAGATAGAAGTGATTGTACCCGACCTAAAAAGCCTCTGCATGTTTCTAATAAGCTCCACGAGCAGAAACGTGCTCAAACTAGGATCAATATTGGAGATGCTTTTGAAAAATGGAGAGAGGTTAGAACACAGAAAGGTTTACAGACCCATGCAGAGCTGGATAAACACTGAAGCTTCAGAGTCCACCACATGGTGACCTGAGTGAGCATCCACTCTAGAGAGGAGGGGGGGAGACAGCTCTCTAATGTTTAGACTGCAGTACCCATTTTAAACACCAGGTGGCAGAGTCACATATTGCTCCTTTAACAGTGTTACATTTTTGATTCACTGTTCCCACCTCTGAAAGGCCAATCCATGCCAATCTGTGTTCCAAATGTTTCATGTCTGGAGATGATATTGTGTCGTTAAAGCCCGGATTTGAAAGCTTTCTCCTGGGCCTTCAACCACATCTTGTAGCCCTCTTCCTGAGTTTAATCAGCTGAACACAGCAAGCAATATGTGACCTGCTGAATCAGAGTGTGAGGTGCTGTTGAAATGTCTGTTAAAGGCAGCAAATGGACATTAAAGTAAGCTTTTTATATGCGTCATAAAAACTCCATCAGCCATTGAGAAACACTACATTCTCATGTCTGAAAGTTTCATTTTTCTTGACTTTAGAGAACATGATGGAAATCTCAGATATCTCGCCTCAGTCCTCATGCACAATAGCAAAAGACAGAATGTTCCTTTATAGTGAGATGAGTGTCTGTGTCAGACAATGATCACAGTCTGGCTGCTCAACACACGAGGTGATCAGGAAGAAAATCAGCTCCACGCCGTGAATGCAAATTCTGTGTGTCAGCGACAGATGAAGTGAGAGAAATCTCCTTCAACGGGACGATGACAAAAAGAGAGAACTGAGTGAAACATGAAGGCGTTGAATGGTGGATCTGAAATGACCAGAAGTCTGCTTCTGTTTGCTAATTAAATAAATAAAATCCCAAATGAGTCTGGAAAATTAGGAATAGTCCAAAAGGATTCAGTCCCTTCCAAATATGAATGTTGGCTTTGGCAAAAAAGGGTGGTGGTTTTATCAAAAACAAAAGTGAAAGAAAAATGCTTCTGGCAGACGTAGCGACCCATTGGCCTGACAGATTACAGACTGATCCTTTAAGTTCAATGATTGAGCTCTGACAAAAACCAATAGGTGCTCCATCTTCAGCTCCAAACAAAGAGCAGGAAGAGAACCAAGAAGGAAGGAAATCCCCTGCTAACTGCCTCCTAGCTTAAAATGCTAACCCAGCTAACACTGTGCCACAGATAACTCTTAACAATGGGAAGCAGTGTCAACAGGAATCTGGCTGTAGTCTAGTAAATAGCAATCTTGCATGATATACAAACTCTTTGTTCATTTCCTCACAGATATGTCTTCTATAGAACGTATTCATAGTTCCAGGAAGCGTTTGAACCCTCCCTCTTTTGTATCGATTCCCCACCGCAGGAACTCTGAACTATTTTAGTTCCTGGAACCCGTTTAGAGGAACCTCTTTAGCTCCTGCTTCAGAGGAGGTACCAGGGTGGTGCGAATGCAGACAGAAAAAAGTCCCCATGGGGTGTAGTTCTCAGGGAACTCCTACGCTGACTCCTAGGGGATAGTTCCTCTTCAAAAAGTCCCCAGAACTTCAGACTTGTTGAATTTCTTCAGTTTGAAAATATTCAGTGTTGGAGTGCCGCTGGTTAGTGCAGACCCCATGTGAAGAGGCTTCAGTCCTCCAAGCATGAGGCTCCTTTCCTGTATGTTATTCCCTGCTCTTTATCAACTGTCCTTTCAAAATAAAGGCATGAAACGCCCAAGTATAAACCTTTAAATAATATATTCAACGAGTCTTGTGGTGCTTTCACTTTGCAGCTGATGAAGACGTTCGAGTAATTTCATCAGTTTCCAATGGAAGCAAAGTAAAGAAAAAGCTGATACACTTCTTTAGAGCGGATAAGATGAGTCAAGGTTTCTGTAAGTCAGCCAGCGAGGAGTCATTTCATTTGTACTCTTCGGTGACAGAGATTTAAATATCCCTGGAACACAGCGAAGGCTGTGCAGAAGAATGAGGAGGCAGAAACTGGCCACAAAAGAAACACAGCGATTGTCTGGAAGGAGGAAGGAAAAAGGAACACACGTGGCTGACATTTTAAACGTGCTGTTGTTGAGGGAGGGGCTTCAGCAGAAGAAGAAATAGCTGAACTTAATGATGCGTTCAGGTGTTCTTCACTTTAATATTTGGTAAATGTTGAGTTCATTTGAATATTAACATTTGAATATGCTCATTTATTAATGACCTGCTTACACAAAGACTGATTAAATATGATTGTTTCATTATGTCTTTGAGTCGATGTTCACTCAGGTCACCATGTGGTGGACTCTGAAGCTTCAGTGTTTATCCAGCTCTGCATGGGTCTGTAAACCTTTCTGTGTTCTAACCTCTCTCCATTTTTCAAAAGCATCTCCAATATTGATCCTAGTTTGAGCACGTTTCTGCTCGTGGAGCTTATTAGAAACATGCAGAGGCTTTTTAGGTCGGGTACAATCACTTCTATCTGAACCACTTCTCTTGACCGCTTCCATCACTGCAACACCTGTTGACCTGATAACTGCTCTCATATCTGACAAACCGAGGGGCGTCCAAAACGGCCGTGTGGGGGTGCCTTAAAAGGAAGGAGGACATACTGGTATAGAAACAAATATCAATATTTTTACTAGAACATTTTTAAAACCTGTTTGTTGAATATGATAATGCTGTTGAGTAACCGTGATGAAGTCTCTTGATATCAGGACTTTTGTGGCTTCAGATTGTTGAATTTGAACTCGTTCAAACGTAAGAGACTCGTACACCTAAAGCTACTTCAACATGTGAAGACAGAGTCCGTGTAATTTGAGTCTTATATCCTGGTGAAGAATGTAGTTTCTGTATTGTTCAGGTTGTGTGGGAGGACAGCGGCTCTGCTTAGGACAAAAACGGGAAATGATGGAAACGTTGACCCCGAGTTATTTCAGGATGAAACCCTCCCGCTGCTCGAGTTGAACAAGAATTTCACCTCTCCACAAGACAATGATCTGGAGCCAAAATCACAGCGAACATCCTGATTCAGATCAGTCGAGGAGGAAACCTGCAAACCAACCTGAGGAGACGTTACATAACGGAGCACTCTGCAGAGAGAGAAGAGTGGAGGCAAACAACCACTGTGAGCAACACAAACGCTGCTTCTGCTCCCACTGAGTATTACCTGAAGGACCCATTCAAATTAAAAGGCAGAAAGATAACTAGGGACGATGTATTTTCCATGGAAATGATGGCATGATTGCTCATAGCTCAAGTGTTTATTTTATTGAGATGTGAAGGTAGGACTGTCAGAAAGTGTCTGGGCTCGAAGAAGGCATTTAGATTGAAAGGAAGTAGGAAAGAAAGGAAGGATGAGAAGAGGGAAGGCAGCAATAGAGAAAGGGAGGAGGGAGGGTCTGTGTATGTGGGTCTATCTGTTCAGAAGTGAAATGATCAGATCAGGAAATGTTGAAAAGAAGAAAAAAAAACATCTGAAAGGGGATTATGTAATCATGTTTAGGTTTTGATGAGCCAACCTTCAGGATGTCTTCTTTAAAACCTGTAAGTCCCATTGAGACTCTTTTGATCCACAAAGTCAGGTTACCCCTGATCCATGCAGAAGGATGGATTTAGAGGGGAAGGAAACAGCTCTTAGCATACGCCTGCATAAACTGAGAAATGGAAGCAGTCTCAAAGCCTTAGCGTTTAAAGGACCAATCAATCAGTGAGACTTCACTATAGAGAACAAACCATATGATGTATTTTTGTAGACCCTGAAGTAGCATCTCCATGGGGTCTAACCAGAATCCTCCTCTGGGATGTTTTCATTGGATTTTGGATCATTGCAGAAAATAAT